AGTAAATGTACTTAGTTATTTTCCAAAACTACTGTGTTGTTGGTGTGGACTGTAATATAAAAAGGTGTTTCTGTGAAAAATGACCTGGGAGAACTGGGAGATCCTTTGTCAGGAGCCTTACATATATAAGCTTTAGCTGTACTTTAGTATTTTGTCAGCATTGTACAGTAGCTGAATAAACCTTTGTGAAGTTAGGCCTACATTGCACTACCTGCAGTAATTTTTACAGTGCCTTGCGAAAGTATTCGGCCCCCTTGAACTTTGCGACCTTTTGCCACATTTCAGGCTTCAAACATAAAGATATAAAACTGTAATTTTTTGTGAAGAATCAACAACAAGTGGGACACAATCATGAAGTGGAACGAAATTTATTGGATATTTCAAACTTTTTTAACAAATAAAAAACTGAATAATTGGGCGTGCAAAATTATTCAGCCCCTTTACTTTCAGTGCAGCAAACTCTCTCCAGAAGTTCAGTGAGGATCTCTGAATGATCCAATGTTGACCTAAATGACTAATGATGATAAATAGAATCCACCTGTGTGTAATCAAGTCTCCGTATAAATGCACCTGCACTGTGATAGTCTCAGAGGTCTGTTTAAAGCGCAGAGAGCATCATGAAGAACAAGGAACACACCAGGCAGGTCCGAGATACTGTTGTGGAGAAGTTTAAAGCCGGATTTGGATACAAAAAGATTTCCCAAGCTTTAAACATCCCAAGGAGCACTGTGCAAGTGATAATATTGAAATGGAAGGAGTATCAGACCACTGCAAATCTACCAAGACCTGGCCGTCCCTCTAAACTTTCAGCTCATACAAGGAGAAGACTGATCAGAGATGCAGCCAAGAGGCCCATGATCACTCTGGATGAACTGCAGAGATCTACAGCTGAGGTGGGAGACTCTGTCCATAGGACAACAATCAGTCGTATACTGCACAAATCTGGCCTTTATGGAAGAGTGGCAAGAAGAAAGCCATTTCTTAAAGATATCCATAAAAAGTGTTGTTTAAAGTTTGCCACAAGCCACCTGGGAGACACACCAAACATGTGGAAGAAGGTGCTCTGGTCAGATGAAACCAAAATCGAACTTTTTGGCAACAATGCAAAACGTTATGTTTGGCGTAAAAGCAACACAGCTCATCACCCTGAACACACCATCCCCATTGTCAAACATGGTGGTGGCAGCATCCTGGTTTGGGCCTGCTTTTCTTCAGCAGGGACAGGGAAGATGGTTAAAATTGATGGGAAGATGGATGGAGCCAAATACAGGACCATTCTGGAAGGAAACCTGATGGAGTCTGCAAAAGACCTGAGACTGGGATGGAGATTTGTCTTCCAACAAGACAATGATCCAAAACATAAAGCAAAATCTACAATGGAATGGTTCACAAATAAACATATCCAGGTGTTAGAATGGCCAAGTCAAAGTCCAGACCTGAATCCAATCGAGAATCTGTGGAAAGAACTGAAAACTGCTGTTCACAAATGCTCTCCATCCAACCTCACTGAGCTCGAGCTGTTTTGCAAGGAGGCATGGGCAAAAATTTCAGTCTCTCGATGTGCAAAACTGATAGAGACATACCCCAAGTGACTTACAGCTGTAATCGCAGCAAAAGGTGGCGCTACCAAGTATTAACTTAAGGGGGCTGAATAATTTTGCACGGCCAATTTTTCAGTTTTTTATTTGTTAAAAAAGTTTGAAATATCCAATAAATTTCGTTCCACTTCATGATTGTGTCCCACTTGTTGTTGATTCTTCACAAAAAATTACAGTTTTATATCTTTATGTTTGAAGCCTGAAATGTGGCAAAAGGTCGCAAAGTTCCAGGGGGCCGAATACTTTCGCAAGGCACTGTAGCTCTTGCCTCCAGTACTACTGTGAGGAACCTTGGAGTCATCTTTGATCAGAATATGTCCTTTAAATCACACATAAACCAAGTCTCTAGATCTGCCTTCTTTCACCTGCGCAATATTGCAAAAGTCAGGAGCATCCTGTCTCAAAGTGATGCTGAAAAACTGGTCCATGCATTTGTTACTTCCAGGCTGGACTACTGTAACTCTTTACTATCAGGATGTCCCAATAATTCCCCAAACAGCCTCCAGTTAATCCAAAATGCTGCAGCCAGAGTACTGACAGGAACTAGCAAGAGAGATCATATCTCTCCCATATTAGCTTCTCTCCACTGGCTCCCTGTAACATTCAGCATAGAATTTAAAATCCTTCTCCTAACATACAAAGCCCTTAATGACAAGGCTCCATCGTATCTTAAAGACCTCGTAGAGCCTTATCATCCTAACAGAGCACTTCGCTCTCAGAGTGCAGGTTTACTTGTGGTTCCTAGAGTCCACAGAAGTAGAATGGGAGGCAGAGCCTTTAGCTATCAAGCTCCTCTCCTATGGAACCAACTCCCAGTCTCAGTTCGGGAGGCGGACACCCTCTCTACCTTTAAGATTAGACTTAAGACTTTCCTTTTTGATAAAGCTTATAGTTAGGGTTGGATCAGCCTCCCCTTAGTTATGCTGCTATAGGCCTAGGCTGCTGGGGGGCCCCATGATGCTCTGAGTTTCTCTCCTCCCCTCCCCTCTCCTCTCCTTTCCTCTCTGCCTATGCTTCTATATGCCACCATTACACATCACTAACTTTGTGTCTCCTCTCTCCCGTAGTGTGTCCTCTCTCTCTCTCCTTGTACTTTTCTACAGGTAGCCCTGGCCCTGGAGCTCTATGTTTTTGATGAGCAGTCACCGGCCACATCAACCTGACCAGTGTTTGATTGTTTGTTGTGTCCTGTTGCTTTTCTTCTTTTCTCGCTCCTCTATCCACTCACTCCAACCGGTCGAGGCAGAAGGCCGTCCACCAAGAGCCGGGGTCTGTCGGAGGTTTCTTCCGTCAAAGGGAGTCTTTCCTCCCCACTGTCGCCAAGTGTTTGCTCAAGGGGGATTTGTTGGGTTTTCCCTCTGTAATAATAGTGATAACAGTAAGGTCTAGACCTTACTCTGTAAAGTGTCCTGAGATGACTTTTGTTGTGATTTGGCGCTATACAAATAAAATTTGATTTGATTTCTAGTTGGACAGGGAACTGTGCTTTTAGGTGCCATCTACTATGAAACAGTCTCTGAGAACCTAATGTCAATAAGCTAGCCACATATTGTGAATAAACAATTTGACCAGCACAGTAAGAATAAATAAAAATATTCAATTTTTGAAGAATCAGTTTTTACTTATTAAACAGTTTCTTAATATTAATGTTTTTCAACCTCTCCTGCCCAGCATGGTGTGTGTGGTGGTTGTACTAAGCTGCTCTCATGCAAGTGCAGTTGTGTTTCCCCTGCACTGTAAAACACATTATCTTCCACATCATTTTCAAATCATGCTGCATTAAAATTATGGATAAAAAGTAAATACTGAATGTGTAAGGATGTTTCCTCAGCATAACATTTCAGCCAATCACGTCTTGATGAGCCGGTTCTGCCCCACTCGACCCAGGGCCGGATGAGCATCAGTCAGCATAATTACCCCCGATGTTAGAAATGGATGGAAATGAAGGTAAACCCATTTCGCCTTGCTCCACATGATAAAATCGGGCTGAACTGCGCTGATGGAAAAACATCATAAAATAAGCTTGAAAAAGTACTAAACTGAAAACGATGAAAAAACACATTTCATATCAAAGCGAGTTAAAAATGAAATGCTGGACTAACCTCCTCAGGCTTGCCTGCTCCTCTCTCTATTGTCTCTAAGAAACCATCAGAGTTTCTCCTCAGTGATAATCGGCCCCTCTTTGACCCCTTGGATGGGTCGGTCACTGGCTGCTTGTACACATCCATCTGGCAGGAGACATAAAACTAGTTTAAAGACAACTCACTGACATCAATTGGCTCACAATCTCATAAACAAGAGGGGTGGCAGCCTTTATGGGGATTACCTGTGCCCCTGACACAGACAAAAAAAAAGCATCTTTGGCCTCTTTGGTCAAACTTTTTTTTTAAATTATCTACTACAGATATAACAATTAATATAATGGAAAAGACAGTTTTCATGCGAATAGGTATGGGTGTCTTAGCCAACAGATATGTATTACAGAGCAACTCACAAGCAAGATATTAGCAAGTACTGTACCTTTACTGTTGACAAATACATTGTCACAAAGGGAAGGACTTATTTTTGTTATTATAATATTTACTGTTTTCATTTTATAGGTTTGCCATTAATCATAAAGCAAAAAGGTGCAAAGTAGGGACAGGTGGGTCCCAAGATTCTCCAATAGCAAATTCTTAAGACAAAGTGTCTGTGCAGTGTCATCCAGGTCATAGTAAACTGAAAAAACTTAGAAAAAATCAACTGGACTAGATTTCTAGGTCGAAGATGTTTCACCTCTCATCAGAGAGGCTTCATCAGTTCTGACTGACTGGTGTTGAGCTGGAGATATTTATCCCCCTCGGTGGTGTTTCAGTCTTTTGATGGCCAACAATGTTCCTTAACGACTGAGTCGTTATAGCCCAGTATCGGTGAGAGTCGTTAGCTGTCTTTGAACCCTCCCCTGTCGACTGACGCCTATTGTCCTGATGGGCATGTTTGGACAGAGATCTCAAAACAGGATTGTAGATGGAAGACAAGTTGTGTCTTAGTCCACCACCCCTATTTAATAAAACACCCCTCACTAAATAGGCAATAGGATTTCAGCCGGCATTGTTACAAACACTGGCGCCCCACAGGAATGTGTCCTCAGCCCCATCCTCTACATCCTGTTCACCCACGACTGTGTCGCCTCCCACAAAGACAACATCATCCTGAAGTTCGCGGACGACACCGCAGTGATAGGTCGCATCACTGGCGGGGATGAAGCAGCCTACAGGAGGGAGGTGGCCGGTCTGCTGTCATGGTGCAAGGACAGTAATCTCAGCCTAAACACGGACAAGACGAAGGAGATGATAGTGGACATGAGGACAAAGAGGAGATCTCATCGGCCACTGTTCATCCGGGGGCTAGAAGTGGAGAGGGTGAGCAGCTTCAAATACCTGCGCATCCACATCAGTGAGGACCTCACTTGGACACTTAACACCACACATGCCATTTCCCATCCCCTGTATGTGTTAACCAGGACTCCACTGCCATCTCTGCAGAGCATTTACCACCGCAGGGTGCATAGGAAAGCTGCCTCAATCCTCAAAGATCCCACCCACCCCCAGCATGGACTGTTCGCCTCCCTACCCGCTGGCCGGAGGTTCAGAAGTGTGAAGTGTAGGACCTCCAGACTGAAAAACTCTTTCCCTCTACCATCAGACTCATAAACAGCTGAGGAGTTTGTTACCAGGAAACACATCATGTACTGTCGACCTGTACCGTTTACATTCTCAGTTTGCACATGCATAATTGCACATTGACTGTTGACTGCTGCACATGCTGCTCCCATGCAGCATACATTGTCTGTTATATTCTTATATATCTTTATTATATTGCTGCATTTGCTGCTTAAAGTGCCTTAGATTTTGTGTTGCTTATTTATCTACTTTATATTTCATTTTTATTTTGTGGCATTCATGTGGACAGCAAAGTAAGAATTTCATTGTACAGGGAAACACATTTCCTAACTGTGCATATAACAAATAAACACTTTGACCTTTGACATTTCTGCACAGAATGACTGCAGATTTGGTCCTTCCCTCTGAAGCAGGAGGAAAGATTACACTCAAAAACTGAGTGTACAGGACATGGGCACCTGACTTGTTTAAATACATTCTTGAAAATTTGTGAAGTCATCCTGGAACAAGATCATTTTATTTGGCTTGCATAATGTTAGGAGCAGTTCATAAATGTTACAGCTGCATAATATGTTGGTAAAAGCTCGTGACTTTGATTGTCTCACAACCGTTTATTTCAGTTGCTCACTAGGAAAGAGTTCAAATCAACCAAGTTTGCAGATTTGACTGTTACACCAGAGCTTTGTTGACAGTCAGACTATGAAGTTTTTTTTTTATTTTTTTATTAATTATTCTACCAGTAAGGTCATGTTTATTAACAACAATCTGTTGAAATGTGAAAATCTTAAACTCAAGCTTCATTTTAAACAGGGTCATGTCAAAGCATCCCAGTCAAGTCGACTCACCCCCTTGCCATTAGTTTCCACATAACTGCACTTGAAGGCACAGCTGAGTGTATCTCTATTGAGTTTCTGAAGCAAAGCGCTGCCACAGCCAAAGAAGACATTCTCAGCACTCCAGCCTTCATCACTCAGCTTCTGAAGAATCTTCAGAAAACAGACACAGTAAGGCTTTAACCACAAACATTTTACATCTTTGTTTTAACCATAACAAAACACACTTGTACTCGTACAGTTTGGACACAGTGGTCTGCAGCAGAGCTTACAGCAGGACAATGCAAAGATTTATTGCATCTTTAAAGGAAAACACAACCTGGGTCTTGCTGTCATGGTTTGCCTTAAGGATAGTAGGGCCAAAAAGCCAATATTTCAAGTAAATTCGTGATGCCAGTTACTTGGAAATGAGATCAAAGGTCAGCATTTTCCTATTGTGCTAGCTGTCCGTTATTAGATGTTGATTGTAACTGAGTAATTGAAGGCAGTACTACTTGCATTTTACTTCCAAATAAGTGTTTTAAGATAACTAGATAACTTCTGGACAAGCAAGTACAGCAGTTGAAAACCTGTATAATTTTTTTACTGCTTGGCACTCATCTGTAAAGCTGTGAGCAGCAATGAAACATGCCAGTAAAGCAGCAGTGACAGCCAAAATATAAAAATAAAACCCATGCTGCAAAATTTACATCCCTATGTGCAGTTTCTGTGTAATGGTAGCATCTTTAATGTTTTGATGGCATATATTTCTTGTAATTCCCAGTAAAATTGGTGTAGTCTATGTGCCCTCTTGTGCTGATACCACTGGGAGTATGGTAATATAATGAATGTAGTAATATGGTGAACAAACATGATTTAAAAGGTCATAAATGTGGAGACGTTATGTTGAGTTACGACACTGCATTTTCTGAAGAAAATGCGTATGGATGCTGAGTGCTGAAAGATCACCCTGAAAATGCTGAACATTTTGACACGAATGGTTTTGCTAGCTGAAAATAAGCTGAAGTAAAATTTCCCCATTCATTTAAATAGGGCAATTTTTTCAAAATAAAGCTAAATATTTTAAAAGTATGAAGTTTAGAAAACTTCTGAATAGAAGCAGCATGAATGTCGTTGAAGAGTTGAACATTTTAATACTAGCCGGATTTGGATACAAAAAGATTTCCCAAGCTTTAAACATCCCAAGGAGCACTGTGCAAGCGATAATATTGAAATGGAAGGAGTATCAGACCACTGCAAATCTACCAAGACCTGGCCGTCCCTCTAAACTTTCAGCTCATACAAGGAGAAGACTGATCAGAGATGCAGCCAAGAGGCCCATGATCACTCTGGATGAACTGCAGAGATCTACAGCTGAGGTGGGAGACTCTGTCCATAGGACAACAATCAGTCGTATACTGCACAAATCTGGCCTTTATGGAAGAGTGGCAAGAAGAAAGCCATTTCTTAAAGATATCCATAAAAAGTGTCGTTTAAAGTTTGCCACAAGCCACCTGGGAGACACACCAAACATGTGGAAGAAGGTGCTCTGGTCAGATGAAACCAAAATCGAACTTTTTGGCAACAATGCAAAACGTTATGTTTGGCGTAAAAGCAACACAGCTCATCACCCTGAACACACCATCCCCATTGTCAAACATGGTGGTGGCAGCATCATGGTTTGGGCCTGCTTTTCTTCAGCAGGGACAGGGAAGATGGTTAAAATTGATGGGAAGATGGATGGAGCCAAATACAGGACCATTTTGGAAGGAAACCTGATGGAGTCTGCAAAAGACCTGAGACTGGGATGGAGATTTGTCTTCCAACAAGACAATGATCCAAAACATAAAGCAAAATCTACAATGGAATGGTTCCCAAATAAACATATCCAGGTGTTAGAATGGCCAAGTCAAAGTCCAGACCTGAATCCACTCGAGAATCTGTGGAAAGAACTGAAAACTGCTGTTCACAAATGCTCTCCATCCAACCTCACTGAGCTCGAGCTGTTTTGCAAGGAGGCATGGGCAAAAATTTCAGTCTCTCGATGTGCAAAACTGATAGAGACATACCCCAAGTGACTTACAGCTGTAATCGCAGCAAAAGGTGGCGCTACCAAGTATTAACTTAAGGGGGCTGAATAATTTTGCACGCCCAATTTTTCAGTTTTTTATTTGTTAAAAAAGTTTGAAATATCCAATAAATTTCGTTCCACTTCATGATTGTGTCCCACTTGTTGTTGATTCTTCACAAAAAATTACAGTTTTATATCTTTATGTTTGAAGCCTGAAATGTGGCAAAAGGTTGCAAAGTTCAAGGGGGCCGAATACTTTCGCAAGGCACTGTAACTTCACAGAAATGCTGGACTCCAGTTTTGCCCTTATTTCATGCACTCCAGTGCAGCACTAAACCCAAAATGCTGATACCCAATAGCCCCAGACAGAGAACGTTAGATGAAGTCATTGTGAAAAAGGCCTACACTTAAATTAATGATAAAAACAGGAAAATTGTATCTGCAACAGAATGGAATGATACAATATAACATACTAAATAAGATGTCTAAAGAATATTTAAATTAAAGCTAGCACAGTACAACAATCAAATTTCTTTTTACCTCATCCACTGAGCTGAGGTCAATACCATCTCCTTGAATAATTCGTAGATAAGAAGGCAGCACCTTGTATCCTGCAGAGTTCAGAGAACAGCCAAAACACTCCTCCAAAATCTTTATGACCTAGAAGACAAGCATGGCATGTAAGTGACTTTAATTTGGACTTTCATCTAGGGGGATACTTATTAAACCTGTTGCAAGTTATCATCAGGGATGGAAGATACTGCACCACCTCAGTTTTTTAGGTCCCGCTCCCAAACTTGAGATAATTAGATTGTCTCCATTTCACGAGCAAGGGCCTGCCCTCACCAAGGACAAATGGAAGCGTAAGAACAAACTAGAGAAATGCATTTCCTGTCAAAAATGTGTGTGGATGCTGATATGCTGAAGGATCGCCCTAAAAATGCCTGAAATCAATTGCTGAAACAGCTGAAGCATGAGTAGAAATAGCTGAAGTTCTTTGTTGAATAAGCTGAAGGATGAGATGCAATAAATACAAGCAAGAGTGTCCTTGGAGAGCTGAACATTTTGATACCTGAGAGAGAGAGAGAGAATACGAGTGTGTGTGTGTGAGAGAGAGTCATCCTACACCCTGAGAACTACTAGTGTGGCTACTGAAATTGAACAAAAATGGCAATTATGCAAAAAAAAAAAAACCAAAACAAAAAACATATCAAAAAGCAGTTTACAGTATGAATAGCTGAAGACCTTCTGAATAATTAACAGTTAAAATTGTTTTTTTTTTTAGCTGAAAATATGCTTAACGTAAGATGTGAAAAGTTTGTCCATTCATTTCAATAAGGCAAAATTTGCTGAAAAAAAGCTGAATATTGTAAAAACTATAAAGGTTACAAAAAAGAATAATACAAGTATGAATGTCCTCAAAGAGCTGGACAGCTTTTCTAGCTGGAAGTGTGCTGAACTTATGGAGATGTAAAAATTTTCCCGTTGGTCCCCACAAAATAGGTAAAACAAGTAGGGGTGTGTGTGTGTGTGTGTGTGCGTGCATGCATCTGTCAGAGCAGTCCTACCCGCTGAGGACTACTAGTGTTGCTATTGAAATTAAACCTAAAATGTAAATGGTAACTAGAAAATTGCATTTTCTGAAGAAAATGCGTATGGATGCTGAGTGCTGAAAGATCACCCTGAAAATGCTGAACATTTTGACACGAATGGTTTTGCTAGCTGAAAATAAGCTGAAGTAAAATTTCCCCATTCATTTAAATAGGGCAATTTTTTCAAAATAAAGCTAAATATTTTAAAAGTATGAAGTTTAGAAAACTTCTGAATAGAAGCAGCATGAATGTCGTTGAAGAGTTGAACATTTTAATACTTTAAATAGCTGAAAGTATGCTGAAGTAGAATTTTCCCATTCATTTGAATGGGGCATGATTTTCAAAATAAAGCTAAATATTTGAAAAATTTGAAGTTTAGAAAATGTCTGAAGAGAAGCATGAATGTCCTGAAGGAGCAGAACATTTTGATAGCTGAAATTATGCTGAATTACAATTTTCCCATTCATTTGAATGGAGCAAGATTTTCAAAATAAGGCTAAATATATCATAAGTACAAAGTTCAGAAAACATCCGAAGAGAAGCTTTAACATTTTAATAGCTGAAAGTATGCTGAAGTAGAATTTTCCCATTCATTTGAATGGGGCAAGATTTTCAAAATAAAGCTAAATATTTAAAATGTATGAAGTTTTGAAAACTTCTGAATAGTAGTGTGAATGTCCTTGAAAAGCTGGACATTTTGATAGCTGAAATAGCTGAAAGTATGAAGTAGAATTTTCCCATTCATTTGAATAGAGCAAGATTTTCAAAATAAAGCTAAATATTTTAAAAATTTGAAGTTTAGAAAACTTCGAAAGAGAAGCATGAATGTACTTGAAGAGTTGATTATTGATAGATGAAAGATTATGCTGAAGTAGAATTTTCCCATTCATTTGAATGGGGCAAGACTGTCAAAATAAAGCTAAATATTTCAAAAGTATGAAGTTTAGAAATGACTGTCCCTGAAGAGCTGAACATTTTGATAGCTGAATGACTTTGCTAGCTGAAAGTATGCTGAACTCATTAAAGATGTGGACCCCACAAAGTAGGTAAAACAAGTAGGTGTGAACATGTGTGGGCAGGGGGGGGCAATAGAGAGGGGGAGGGGAGAGAGACAGAGAGGGAGAAGGCGAGGGGGAGAGAGAAAGAGAGGGGAGTTATGTTGGGGCATGTCCCAATTGCGCTGCATTTTATGAACCACCAGATGGCACTCCAAGTCAGTGTCATTGACTCAGCACTTTGAGCTCCCATTGACTTGTATTGCAAAATATAAAGCTGAATAGATTAAAAAGTATAAATGTTATAAAAAAAAGTTGAGAACAAGCAGGGATGTCCTTGAAGAGTTGAACAGATCAAGCCCTCAACAGCCTGTATAGCTGAAA